TAAACCCTAAACCCTACACCGTGCCTCTCGCCACCAGTCCAGGGCCGCTGTGGCGTCCGGGGTCGCAGCGGTGCCTCGGCTTCGTGAAGCTTCGCGACAGCCTTGCGACTTGTCTTGGATTTAAGGTTTAGGGTTTGGGGTTTAGGGCTTAGGGTTTAGGGTTTAGGGCTTAGGGTTTAGGGTTTAAGGTTTAGGGTTTGGGGTTTAGGGTTCCTGGCACAGGACTCTACAGGACTGCAGACACTACTCAGACAGACAAGCAGGGAGAGAAAGAGACACCGAGAGACGGACAGATAGTCACTGACGCGGACAGATGCAAAGGGGGATTGCAGACTGACAAACTCAATCAGCAAATGTCAGGTGCTGCAAAACCCATCAGATTCCATCAAAGCTTTTATGAGCAGGCAGGTATTTCGAAACCTCTTTGCCCCGTGCCCTCGAAATGCTCACACTTATGCTTGCCACACGTGTCGCCTGAACTAGCACTTTTCCCTTTGCTCCTCATAATCACCCTTACTCCGTCTCCTCGTCGCCCTCCTGTTGTAGCAGGCTTCGTCAACGTCACCGGTATGCTTCGACATCTTCGTCATTGCCAGTCATGCGCAGTGTTGGTGGTCGCGGTAGCAATGGCGGCGGTGGTGTCGCAGGAGGTGGCAGTGGTGGCAGGGGTGGTGAGGGTGTCGTGGTGGTGCTGGGAGCAGGTGATCATGGTGATGCTGGTGATGGCGTGAAATCAGACGAAGGTGGCGATCATCAGGAAGTTCTTTGCTAGCACTATGGCGGAAATGATTACTCGTGCTGCTAGTGCTGTCTTTCGTCGTCAGCTTGAGCTTGTCACCATTGCTGTTACTCGATCAAGATCTGATTGCTGACGCTCATGTACTGGCACAGCCTAGGAGGAATTCCACGCCTGAGGAGGATCTTTGGTTGGCGGAGGCTTCCAAGCCAGACCTTGCAGTTTGGGGCAGAACTGCGGGCTACCAGAAGCAGCCGGCACGGGGGGCTTAGGCATTGCGCCAAAACTGCGTAGGTCTAGGTGCCTTTGCCTGAGCGACTAGTATCACAATGTACAAGACGGTGCCAAACAAGGCCGAGTGAGTGTTACTACCCCTTTCTTGAGCACTTTCATTCTCTTTAAGTACTCTCCAAAAGGGAGGCGAGTGGCATGAGAAGAACCACAATCTCTCGGAATGGCGCGGCAGCAAGCATGTCACCGGGATCACGCAACTGCGTAGCAATGGACGATAACCGTTTAACTCATTCCTCCTGACAGCACAAAAGCGCCTTACTCTAAATTTCCATTGTAGCCCCGCTCGAAGGAGCGAAAACCGGGGGAGCAATCCTCCGGACAACAAACTGAACCTCGAAATGCTGAAACCCTGAAGCTTTCAAGCCACAGTCTGCACTATCAGTCACTATCACTAGCCGTACACCCACCAAAGACTTCGGACCATGCTTCTTTCCCCCCGGCCCTCGAAACCCTAAACCCTAAACCCCCGAAGGTGAACTCCAGGGCATGAATTTTGTCCCCACATTCCAGTCAGCCTTTGGGCCTTTGGTCAAGTTCCAATTAGATTGCCCCCTAAACCCTAAACCCTAAACCCTAAACCCTAAACCCTAAACCCTAAACCCTAAACCCTTTGATTTGTTCTTAGGGTTTTCCAGTTAGCGGCTTTGGGCGTTTTGGCTGGGTTCGGGCTCAAGGGTTCGGAAAATCTGCTTCGGGTTTGGGGCTTAATATTGGGGCCCTAAATGGGGTCCTTTATAGTAAAATTATAATAAGGAACCCCCAAAATCATATTGGTAATCATTTAGTTTACTGATCAGCTGCATGTTTCAACTTCTCGCCCTGGACATTGGGCCATCCGACAGGAGAGGTCGAGGTCTCCGTGCCGCATCGGCTTCGCCTCCCTCCTGATGCTCATCTCCGTTTAGGGTTAAAGTTTAGGGCTTTGAGCTTCCGCTCGTTTTGGGGCTGTAGGCTTTTTACTTGGGAGGACAGGCCGGAAGCATGAGGCTGCATCATAATGCAGTATGCATCGCGTATTGGAACATACTTGAACATACCGAAACGAAGCGTAATGGATAATATGAGTACAAGGATAAGGAAGCAAAGTGCTCCATGAATTAGCACTTGCAGTTACCAGTATGCTGCAGTATGCTGTATTGCAGTAATGAACTATCTAGGGCCGTTGAAGAACCAGAGATACTACCATCAACCACCGAGTCTCGGGTTTCGAACAGAACTGACTGTGCCCCCGGAAACCGACCATTGGCTTGAGCCAATATAAGGCCATGATGACCTACATTATTCCTCAGGATTTGTAAAGGACCCCAAAGCCATGTTCTAATTATTCAGGCCCCCCATATTAACAAAGCACCGAGCTTAGAAGCGAAGTTCCAAACTTCGGCGGCGGGAAGTGGACAGTCGGCTCCTCCAAGCAGTTCGACGCGCGTCGTTGCGGCGCTGGCCCACCGCGCTCACCTGCAGATTGTCCACTGTACCTACAACTATACCCGGACTGCGCCGCGCGCTTCTAGGCCTTCCTTTCTTGAAAGCCTGTAGTATTCTGAGAGACACAGATCGCCGCCCAGTGAAATCTACTGCGAAAGCAGAGGCTGCTGCGGCTCGCCCGACTCCAATTACGGTGCGGCCGTCGGCTCTGTGCTGCGGCTGCTGCTGCTTCTGTTCTCCCTCTTCTACTCTTCCTGATACTCCGAACTCGTACTACCACTCCTGCTCCTGCCTGGCTCCTAATCCTACCCCACTGCTGACCCTCCTACTACTTCCACAACGACGACCACCACCACTGCAACCATCACCACCGCCACTAGCACGGACCGCGACCGCCAGCACCACTAGCACCACTAGTACCACTAGAACCGCTAGTACCACTAGAACCGGTACCACTACTACTACTACTACTACTTCTTCTTCTTCTACGACTACTACGACTACGACGACGACGACGACTACTACTACTACTGCGACGACGACGACGACGACTACTACTACTGCGACGACGACGACGACGACGGCCACGGCCACCACCGGCACCACCAAATGCCAAACATCACGACAACGAGCACTGAACACGACGAACAACTAGCGTGGTTTTGGCCACCTTCTTATCATCCCTCTCTGTCTCTGGGACTGGCGAAATGCTTCAGTTTTGGCTCCGGGGCCAGTGAGCAAGGCCACAAAGCCCGACACAAATGGCCAGCGGTCGTTGTGAGCCCTACCAATACTCGGCACATCACAAAAAAGGGCTGAGAGTGCCGGAAGCCGAGCTCAGGGCAGAGGGGCCACCCGCAGAGACCTGGGAAGTGATAGCACGGTGGCCGGAAGACTCGAGGGCTCAAGGGCGTCAGAGGCAAAGACAGTGAAACCTGAGCAGGTTTCTCAAGGCCTGAGGACATTAACTTATGACGCCTACAAGGCCTACAAATCCAAACTTGGTGTTCTGGAGGCAAATTTGAAGAATTCCAATGCCAAAAGAAAACATCCAAGATTGTGGAGACCGAAACGCCACTGCATCCCAAGATCACATTAGAAGTCCTAATGGTCAATCCGGCACGCCGTGCAAAGAGCAAGGAAGCCCAACCCAGCCAAAAACTTCAGACTTCAGGACCGTAAGCCCGATAACTCCCCCTAAACCCCCTAAACCCTCTAAACCCCTAAACCCCTAAACCCCTAAACCCTAAACCCCTGAACCCCTAACCCCTAACCCCTGAAGCTCTAAACCCTAAAACTCCCTTTGAAAAACCCCGATCCGACGCTCAGCAGTCACGGGCTTCGTCGTCCGTGCTTTTGAAACTCCGTCTATTTCGGAACGCTGCATTCAGATGCCGGCCGCGCTCTAGCAAAAATGCGAGCGAAGCGCGATAGTCCCACATGCCGACATGTACAACTCTAAACATCTGGAAACCTCGGAAGATTCGAAAGCATGGCAACTCAAAACCATCGAAACCCCTTCACTCCCTCTTAGTATATTCGAATATTATACAGCATTATATGATACATTATGATACTCTAGTAAATGATATGTACATGTAACCACATATAATGTATATATAATGTGTATATATATATACACACACACATATTCACCCAGCCATCGAATCTCGGGCTTCCGTGATCTAAGTGCAAAAAGTTCAATCTGTGGGCCGACTTTGAGCGGTTGCGAGAACGGAGTCATAGGGCTGATGATATAAATCCTGCATTGGGGTTCAGGGTTTTTTTTTTTTAAGTGCAGTGGCCTTTTCTCCTGCAAAGCCTGCCTCATTCGAGGCCTACACTCCAAACAGGACCCAATGTTCGCCAAAGGGCCACAGAAAACACAAGTTCTTCATGGGCTCTGACATCCGACACCAGCCAGCCACCATGGCATGAGCTCTCCGATACTGTACGAGCTCCACACTTCACAAGCCTAAGACCTGCCTGGTCCAGTCACAAGGCACACAGCAGCACAGACATTGGCACTTACGGCCAAGAGCGCACAAGACCATGGGCCCCACATGTACAGCAGACCCTACTCTCACCGTCGTTTAGCTATGTTCAGTGCGCGGCTCAGAAGGACTGCTACTTCGACCCTCTCGTCGACCATGGCGAACACGGGCTTCTCGAGCTAGTTCCTCATCTGACAAGGTATCCTCCTCGTCCACGTCGGATTCCATGGGAGCTGCATCACGACTTCTGGATCTGTCCATGCGAGTTGCACCCTCACCATTCCGCGACGAGGCCGAACCCGCCGTAGACGTACGAGGTAGAGCACCCACTGAAACCTGACGGTCCACCACCACGCCATGGACCAACATCGGTAGGCGACGGTGCACGCGATCACGTCGACGGCCAGCTCGTCCTCGCACCTGTCGGTCACGTACTGGTTCCTCCGGAAGTGGTGTGCCTTCTGGTAGATTGCCAATGGGGACCTCCGGTGCTGTCTGGACTAGGTAAAGTGCCCGGTCATCCTCATCTGGCCAACGCCCTTGGGGAAGAGGTAGACCCTCCTGTTGGTGAAGGGCCGCAATGTGGTTGCGCCACAGTCTTCTCCGCATTCCAGCCGTGGTCGATGCCATCTGCTGTGGGATGGCCGCGTTGGCCGCAGCCACACTAGTTGGCAGCCCCGGTTGAAGAAGGACAGCCGCTGGTTCAAGGAATTCTGGTCCTCCCCCGGCAGGACATCCAGATGAGCCAGCTGCTTCACGGACAACGACACCCCAAATATTGGCCTCCATTGCCGCCGCATTGAGCGCCAGGGAATGCTCTGCTCTCCGTACCCACCCCAAAGTTTCCTCAAGGGCAACGTTGACATTGTGCTGGCGACGTTGTAGCATTCGCTGTCGGTCAAGAAGCCTTCGGACAACATCAATCACATCCGCGTCCCCTGCGAATTGCAGCTGGAAGTTGACAATGTCCCGAACGTTCCCATCCTGCTCAGGTGTCGTTGTGGTCGTAGACGTGGAGGAGGAAGACGTCAGAGAAATCACCCCATCTGCTGCCAACGATGACCCAGGGAACTGCAGGAGGAAGCAGATGTCATCATCACCCACCATTTCCTGTGCGACACCCCAGCAGGGACAAGCAGTCGTCGTCGTTGTGCTGGCAGCCATCCTGTCGGGAGTGGCCACCACATTGTTGTCAGTAGAGGAGCTAGCGCCACCGAAGATCGTGTCGTTCCCACGTAGGTCAACTAGTGGAGGGTCACGCCATATACCCGGGAGCGTCGCGGGGTCTGGCATCGTGAGCTCTTCCGTCTCCTCGTCGTCTGTCCGATGGTTGGAGAGACGTGGACTGCGAGATCGACTTCGCGTTGATCTGGATCCCACCCCTCCGCCTGGTGCACCGGAAGAGGAAGACGAAGAGGGCACAGACGTTTCGGTTCGCTCAAGCTCAGTAGAACCCATGACGCTGGATGTGCTCTCCGGTGGCGGTGGCGGAGAGGCAACGGTTTCGCTTGCTTGCAGTGGAACCGCTAGGTGCCTTTGTAGGATGTCCCTGGCAAAGTCACCATAATTTCGCACCCATTGAAACAGGTTCCACCGCATGGACTCCAATGCTGGAAGTCTCTCTATAGGGAAGAAGCCCCAGGGCAAGAGTCTCCTTGTGAGGACCACCAGGATCTCATCAATGTTGTCCAGCCCTTCTTCCAGTCGCTGTACCAGTCGCCTCACTGCCCATCTTGACTCTGCACCAGTTCCCGTATCTTGGTGATTTTCCAATCTATTCAGGAAGTCTTCAAGCCTGTCAATCTCCGCCATCGGCACTCCTCGTTCCTGTAGTCGCTGACGTTCCGCCCCTGTCATCTGCATGAGGAAAGTGAGGTCGGTCTCCGGCTCATTCTCCATGTTCCCAGGCACAGGAGTGACAACGGGGAAGAGGCCGAAGTTCGGCGGGAAGTAGGGCTCCTCGTCGTTATCCTCGTCGCTTGGTGCACTCGGGTTTAGGGTTCAGGGTTTAGGGTTTAGGGTTTAGGGTACCCATAAGACGGATTATACCATAATTCTCATAGTTTAGGGTCGTTGAAGCAATGGGGATTTATATCATCAACAGTACCATGCGGGCTACTGCGTTGCGTAACTTCCCTTGAAGTCTAGTGTTTAGGGTTCAGGGTTGTAACTTCCTGAAACCCCAACGCCGCAATACCCCAAACTTGATACCCAAGAGCCCTAAAGCCCTGATAGTCTTAATGATTCATGCATTCAGAAGTCATCTGGATGAGCTGAACCCTCATCACTTTCACAAAACTCTTCAGGTTTACAAAGACTGTGATCTGCTATGACCAGAGGAGGGGCCCACAGATCCAGAAGTCGGGGACGTCGGAAAAAACAAACTCCCCACGAGGACACGTCATGCTCCGGTTCAACACATGCCTTTGAGGATGGAGCAACGTTAACGTCCTGCGACTGCGCGCTAGCAGTTGCAATGGTTAAGCTAAAGTTCATCTGGCCAGTCGAAGTCTTCGGAAAGGTGCGCTGCTGAAACGACAGAACTGAAAGAGGCAACCACCACCACCGTCGCTGCAACCACTGTCGGCAACACCAGCACTACGGGCACTTCCAGCACGACCAACCACAGCCACAGCCACAGCCAGAACGACGACGACAACGACCATCACAACAACGACAGCAACAACAACAACGACAACCACAACAACCACGACAAGAACAATAAGAAGAAGAAGAAGAAGCACGACGACGTCGACGCCACGCGACAGACGAGCGTTCTAATTCTAGACTCGTTTTAGTCTTCGGGCTTACGGTTTCAACTACTCGGCACCCTACCCTGAAGCTTGAGAGGTTATGGCATTGAATAGGACGTCAAGCCGAACCTGCACATGCAGCCACCGTGAGGAGCCCAAAGTCGGGGCGTTTGTCATCCGCCCTTTCTGCATGCAGGAAATTGTTCACCAACCTGCCGGTGAAGTAACCGACGCTAACGTCTGTACATTGATGTAGTAGCATACGATCACCTCTACCACTGCCACGACAACTGCAACCGCCGCCCCTGACCGCTACGACGACGACGAACGACGATTGAGTCGACTAGCACACCTGCTTCTGCTACCAGTGCTACTGCCACCACAACTACCCGAACCACCGCGATGAGGACAACTATCACTCTCCTATCTCGCAATCATTTCATCACTTGCACTCTCTACAGCATAATCGCGACGATCAACATGATCAGCACCTTGCAGATCACTCACCTCAGACTCGCCTTAGCCGGCGTCATTACTACTTCATAGATGACAGAGACCTTGTGTCATCTCCACCAACGACAGCATTGTGGCCAGAATCACTCCCTCCAGAAGCATCCGCAACAAGAAAACAGTTACATGTCGCGCAGGATCATATTCCAACATGACAGGGTCGCAACGATCCACCTACCGACCTTGAACCAACCCTCATGCGGAGCCACCACACCGTGCAGGTCATGAGGTCACCGTCTTGGTGGGGCACTTTACAGATAAAGTCATGACACTTTCAGATTAGGCCGCCACCCGAACTTCTAGTCCCTCATGTCTACTCTACCCCAAGCCCTCACGCCAACCCAAAATTGAGACGAGGTGGAGGCCCAACCTGTTGATTCAGTATTTGAAAAATCACGGCCCGCTTGAAGAAATTCGCATGGGGCCACAGTATTCCACCGCCGCCGGCCAGAGGAGCCCCCAGTCCTAGACCTTTACTTTAGAAAGCTCCATACCTGTATGACCATGTTTAAGTGTGTATGTGTATATATATATATATATCTACATACATATATATACATAGATACATACATGCTACTATCGGCTGCTAGTGCCCCGTGCTAATTTTG